TGAGTAATGGTCTCAATTTGCCATGGGGGAGGTTTAGGTTGGATATTAGGAAAAAGTTTTTCACTAGGAGGGTTGTGAAGTGCTGGAACGGGTTCCCTAGGGAGGTGGTGGAATCTCCTTCCTTAGAGGTTTTTAAGGTCAGGCTTGACAAAGCCCTGGCTGGGATGATTTAGTTGGGGATTGGTCCTGCTTTGAGCAGGGGGTTGGACTAGATGACCTCCTGAGGTCCCTTCCAACCCTGATATTCTATGATTCTATTCTTTCTGTAACAGAGTTGGCAGCTCTAGTATTTGCACCCTTTATTTTCTGCCATTACTAGTTTAAAAAAAAATCTTAATTAGCAGGTGTGCGCACGCACATATTTGGGAACTCCATACAGGTGAGAGCCTGTATGGACTAACATAGCAAACTACTGTCATTACATTAACAATACAAAATAGGGCATTGTCTGGTGTGTCTTCTGCCTCTGCTCCCAGCTTGCGGTCCATGGAGTATGTTGCCAGAGCACTCATGGTGACACCCCAGTGGTGGGGGCGTTGAGAACCAGTCACACGATATAACTACTCACATGTAACTGTTAAATGTCTGAAGGCAGAAACTAAGAGTTCCATGTCACTTGGTCTGTGCTCCCAGCAGGAGATCAGGCTGGACCAGCCAGAACTACAGAACGTGATTCTTCAAGGCTGTGCCCCGTGTCAAGTGGGTGTAAAACAGCACCATTCTGTCTTACATGCATTTCACTCCCACTTCGCATGGGTGGAAGTGTCTGTACACTGACCAGGGAGTCAGGCTCATAGAACTGAGGGCTACACTCATTCTCTTCCCTTGGCAACAGATGAGTAGATATAGCTCCTGCTGAGGTGGAGGGGGGAGGTATTGTAGTGGGAAGGGGGGCACTGCTTACCAAACACCCCATCATGGCCAAGGATTGCTTAGCAGGAACCTTTCCCTGTTAGCCCCCTCATGAACATCCATTAAGAGCTCCACAGAGGCTCTCTTGTGGCTATCTGCACCCCCATTCAGGGCTGACTTAATAACAGAAGAGGCTCAAACAGTCCTCAAGCCCCTTAGTAACAAAAATGGTCCACAAAGTCCCCCAAATAAAATCCATAACACAAGTGTATATTCAGCCCTGATTCTTCTACCTCACACAGACCGCTTCCTCTGCCCCAGCAGAAGCCACCAGTCCTACTGCTTTCTGGCTGGAGCTCAGCCCTCTGAACCTGGCTTCCTTCTTCTGTCAAATCACCCTATGCAGCTTCCTGCTGTTCTGTATAAGAAATCCCCTGCTCCAATAGAGGTGTGCTTCTCCGGGTGTGGCTATCCTCTGTGGTCCATCCCTTAAGGGTGGAGCCACACTGTTATAGCCATAGGACCTGCTAAGTGCAGATTTAAACAGTGAATGGGGAAGGGGTGATCAACACTTCAATTGCTGTAAGAAACAAAGCAGCGGAGTTCCAACACAACTACAGCAAAATGCCACACCTCATGTAGGTACACAGTTTGCAGGAGAGTCTGGCAGAACAGGTACTGAAATCACAAAAGAGCAGATTAGTGCTGAGTCTGATGCTGTAGCTAAACTGTGAATGCTTGGAGCTAAACATGAACAATGCTAGGCCAACAACTAGAGTGGTCAGACAATTAACATGACAGGATTCTAATAGAAAAGCTTGACTGTGGAACCAGCTGCAGAAGAAGGAAAAGTGGAATGGGTCTATCCATCATTTTGCTTGATTCAGCTGAAGACCTAGGCCTGGCCACAAACTGTGGGCTGCTCAATCACCAACTCCTATGGCATTGCCTTTTATCAACAGAGGAAATGCACCCAAGAGAATGTTAGGACTCAGTCCTACTGGTGTCAGCATGCAGCATTCTAAAGCCTCCAACTTTTGCTCTCTGTGAGCAGGCTGACATCGAAGGGGGTTTCCAGAGTTGGGCAATCTGTGCGTTTTCAAACACGTGTTAAGTGGTTTGCTGTGGCATCACCACTCCAGCTTCCCTTCAGTGTGTGAGCAGGCACACTGAGGGGAGTGTTCAAATACTGGTGCAGCTGTCACTGGTACAGAGATCATAGAATCATAGAATATAAGGGTTGGAAGGGACCCCAGAAGGTCATCTAGTCCAACCCCCTGCTCGAAGCAGGACCAAATCCCAGTTAAATCATCCCAGCCAGGGCTTTGTCAAGCCTGACCTTAAAAACCTCTAAGGAAGGAGATTCTACCACCTCCCTAGGTAACGCATTCCAGTGTTTCACCACCCTCTTAGTGAAAAAGTTTTTCCTAATATCCAATCTAAACCTCCCCCACTGCAACTTGAGACCATTACTCCTTGTTCTGTCATCTGCTACCATTGAGAACAGTCTAGAGCCATCCTCTTTGGAACCCCCTTTCAGGTAGTTGAAAGCAGCTATCAAATCCCCCCTCATTCTTCTCTTCTGCAGGCTAAACAATCCCAGCTCCCTCAGCCTCTCCTCATAACTCATGTGTTCCAGACCCCTAATCATTTTTGTTGCCCTTCGCTGGACTCTCTCCAATTTATCCACATCCTTCTTGAAGTGTGAGGCCCAAAACTGGACACAGTACTCCAGATGAGGCCTCACCAATGTCGAATAGAGGGGAACGATCACGTCCCTCGATCTGCTCGCTATGCCCCTACTTATACATCCCAAAATGCCATTGGCCTTCTTGGCAACAAGGGCACACTGCTGACTCATATCCAGCTTCTCGTCCACTGTCACCCCTAGGTCCTTTTCCGCAGAACTGCTGCCTAGCCATTCGGTCCCTAGTCTGTAGCGGTGCATTGGGTTCTTCCGTCCTAAGTGCAGGACCCTGCACTTATCCTTATTGAACCTCATCAGATTTCTTTTGGCCCAATCCTCCAATTTGTCTAGGTCCTTCTGTATCCTATCCCTCCCCTCCAGCGTATCTACCACTCCTCCCAGTTTAGTATCATCCGCAAATTTGCTGAGAGTGCAATCCACACCATCCTCCAGATCATTTATGAAGATATTGAACAAAACCAGCCCCAGGACCGACCCTTGGGGCACTCCACTTGATACCGGCTGCCAACTAGACATGGAACCATTGATAACTACCCGTTGAGCCCGACAATCTAGCCAGCTTTCTACCCACCTTATAGTGCATTCTTCCAGCCCATACTTCCTTAACTTGCTGACAAGAATACTGTGGGAGACCGTGTCAAAAGCTTTGCTAAAGTCAAGAAACAATACATCCACTGCTTTCCCTTCATCCACAGAACCAGTAATCTCATCATAAAAGGCGATTAGATTAGTCAGGCATGACCTTCCCTTGGTGAATCCATGCTGGCTGTTCCTGATCACTTTCCTCTCATGCAAGTGCTTCAGAATTGATTCCTTGAGGACCTGCTCCATGATTTTTCCAGGGACTGAGGTGAGGCTGACTGGCCTGTAGTTCCCAGGATCCTCCTTCTTCCCTTTTTTAAAGATCTTTTTTAAAGATCTCAGAGGGAAGGAGTTATAAGACAATTGCTCTTCCCTGAAAAAGACAGGCCACTGACAGAAAGCGATCTGGATGGCTTGGTAAGCTGGGCACAAGCAAACAATACACATTTCAATATGGCCAAGTTATACATCTAGGAACAAAGAATACAGGCCATAATTACAGGCTGGGGGACTCTAACCTGGGAAGCAGTGACTCTGAAAAAGACTTGGGAGTCATGATGGATAATCAGCTGAACATGAGCTCCCAGCAAAAAGCTGTGGCCAAAATGGCTAGTGTTATCCTCAACAATATAAAAAGGGAAATATGGATCAAGAGTAAGGATTCCCTTGTATTCCCTTGTATCTGGCACGGGTGAGCACTGCTAGAATACTGAGTCCCGTTCTGGTGTTAACAAATCAAAAAAGATATTGATAAATGGGAAAGAGGTGAGAGAAGAAGCATGAACATTATTAAAGAAGTGGAAAATATGCCATACAGCAAACGGCTCGAAGAGCTCGATCTATTTAGCTGACTGAAGAGAAGGTTAAAGAAGTTGAGGCTAGACAAGTTCAGACTAGAAACAAGACACACATTTTTAACAGTGAGGGTTATTAATCATTGGAACAATTTACCATGGGCTGTGGTGGATTCTCTATCACAGGCAGTTTTACATCGAAGATTGGCTGTTTTTTTAAAAGATCTTCTCTAGCTCAAACAAATGAATGCCAGGAAGTCCTGGGGCGTGTGTGACCCAGGTCAGACTGGATGATAACAATGGGCTGCTTGGGCCTTGGAATCAAGGGCAAACACGTGTCACCTGGCAAAATCCAGTCCCCTTAGGATTTGTAACACAGGGGTGAACCCACAGCCTTACTTCCCAAGGGAGAGGCTAACCCCACAGCTGCAGCCCTGGGGGGTGGGGTGGGGGGTTGGGATATCCATACAGCCCTGCCCTGTGGTGGTGGAGAATAGTGCCCCATCCACACCCGGGGGAAGAATAACCTACCCAGCTCTGACCCCGGAAGAATAATCAATCAGTTATTAATGTTAAAAAACTGCTTGAGCCCCCCCCAGCACCTCTTTCATTACAATTTAAACAGTGGGAATAACCACAGGCCTGCCCACCCTCTCCAGGGAGAGACCAGACACCACTCACGCCCAGGGTAAGAATACCCACTCCACCACCAGTATCCCCTGGGTTGGACTTAAAGCCTCTGGAGCTGTGGGCTACACTCCCAGGGGGCAGGGAGGTTGTTCTCCCAAGTCAGGGCTCCCAGGTGCAAGATGGGGAGGGGCTGCATCAGGCGTGTTCTCTGGAGCAGTGGCTCTCACCCTTTCCAGCAGACTGTACCCCTTCAGGAGTCTGATTTGTCTTGCGTACCCCCGGGATTTCACCTCACTTAAAACCTGGTTGGCTTACAAAATCAGGCATAAAAACACAAAAGGGTCACAGCAGAATATTACTGACAAGTGATTTTCTTTCTCATTTTTGCGGTACAATTATCAGTCAGTCCATTGGACTATAAATATGGTACTTACATTTCAGGGTTTGGACTACAGAGCAGTACCAACAAGTCCCTGTCTGCATGGAGGTTTAGTTAGTACTGACTGCGGCTGGTACTTTTCATGTCACTGGACAGGTTGTAAAACCCAGCAAATACCAGGTGAGTTGATGTAACCCCTGGAAGACCTCTGGGTATCCCGTGGGTACCCCTGCTGGAGACGGGTGAGCCTGGGAGGAGAGTTAGGACCAGAGTTAGGGGGCAGCGTTAGGGGACAGGGCTGGGGTCTCCCTGAGCCTGGGACTAGGGCTGGGCCGGGGGCAGGGCCAGGTTCTCTGGGGGCGGGGCCGGGTTAGGAGCCGTCTCCGGGGGGCGGGGCTGGGGCGGTGGCGGGGGCGGGGCCGGGTTAGGAGCGGTCTCCGGGGGGCGGGGCTAGGGCTGAACCGGGGGCGGGGCCGGGTTAGGAGCCGTCTCCGGGGGGCGGGGCTAGGGTTGAAGCGGGGGCGGGGCCGGGTTAGGAGCCGTCTCCGGGGGGCGGGGCTAGGGCTGAAGCGGGGGCGGGGCCGGGTTAGGAGCGGTCTCCGGGGGGCGGGGCTGGGGCGGTGTCAGGGGCGGGGCCGGGTTAGGAGCGGTCTCCGGGGGCGGGGCTAGGGCTGAACCGGGGGCGGGGCCGGGTTAGGAGCGGTCTCCGCGGGGCGGGGCTGGGGCTGAAGCGGGGGCGGGGCCGGGTTAGGAGCGGTCTCCGGGGGGCGGGGCTGGGGCTGAAGCGGGGGCGGGGCCGGGTTAGGAGCGGTCTCCGGGGGCGGGGCTAGGGCTGAAGCGGGGGCGGGGCCGGGTTAGGAGCGGTCTCCGCGGGGCGGGGCTGGGGCTGAAGCGGGGGCGGGGCCGGGTTAGGAGCGGTCTCCGCGGGGCGGGGCTGGGGCGGTGTCAGGGGCGGGGCCGGGTTAGGAGCGGTCTCCGGGGGGCGGGGCTAGGGCTGAACCGGGGGCGGGGCCGGGTCAGGAGCCGTCTCCGGGGGGCGGGGCTGGGGCTGAAGCGGGGGCGGGGCCGGGTTAGGAGCGGTCTCCGCGGGGCGGGGCTGGGGCGGTGTCAGGGGCGGGGCCGGGTTAGGAGCGGTCTCCGGGGGGCGGGGCTGGGGCGGTGTCAGGGGCGGGGCCGGGTTAGGAGCGGTCTCCGGGGGCGGGGCTGGGGCGGTGTCAGGGGCGGGGCTGGGATACGGCCGTTCTCCGGGGGGCGGGGCTGGGTCAGTGCTGAGGGCGGGGCCGGGCTGGGGGTGCGTGTGTGTGCTCTCTGGGGGGCGGGGCGAGCCCCAGGTGGGAGGGGGCGACTCACCTGTCCCAGCCCCGCCCCCTCGGGCCGGGATTGGCCGCGGCGCTGCCCTGTGGAGCCGGCGATTGTCCCCGCGGCGCCGGGCGGCTCCTCCCCCGGGTCATGGCGCCGCCGCCCGCCCGGCCCCGCTCCGCGCCCTGACTCGCCGCGCCCCGGCCGGAGGGGAGGCGGCGCTGCTGCTGCTGCGGACGGTCCGGAGCCGCCGTGCCCGGGCAGGGGCATGAGGAGAGCGCGGGGAGCGGCGGCGGCGGGCGGCCTCGCGGGGCCGAGCTGAGGCGGGTCCGGCTGAGGGGAGCCGCGCGGGGCCCGCGCCATGTCCCTCCTCTGCGTGCGAGGTGAGTCCGCGCCGCCGCCGCCCGCCCCCCGACCGGGCTCGCGGACCTGCCCCGCTCGGGTCCCCGCTGCCCTGTGGGGGCCCCCCCGGCTCTCAGCGCCCCCCCCCCCGGGTCTCGCGGCGTCTGCCCGCCGGACGCTGCCCCACCTGCCTGCTCCGCCGGGGGGGGCCCGCAGCCCCTCTCCCCCGGCGGGCCCCAGCGACCCGCCCCCCGGGCCCGGGGGAGCTCGAGGCCCTGGCGAGGCTGGGAGCAGCTCCGGGCACGGCCCCCTCCCCGCAGCCGTGCGCGGGCGGGGGGCGCGCGGGGAGGCGCCGGCGCGGAGTCCCGCAGCGCGGAGGAGGCGAGCTGCGCCCCAAGCCGCCCGAAGCCGCCGCCGCCGCCGCGCGGGTGTGTGCACGGCGGGGTGTAGGGACCCTGCCTCCCTCGGCCTGCGCCTCGCCGGAGCGCTGGTTTGGACAGTAGCGACTAGGAAGAAGAAACGGCAGTCCTCATCAACGGGCGAGATCTCCTCGGCCGCTGGCTTCAGATGGGTCTCTCGCTCCAGGCTGTACGGTCCCGTTCGAGACCAGTCTCTGAACTGGCCCGCCCAGTGATTATGTAACACAGGGATTCTTCTTTGTGGCTGTTCTTTCATTGAGTGGTTGGGGTGCGATGTTTTTACACAATACGGTTTGCTCCGCTAGTCTGCGGGCGGGTGTGCTTGGTGATTCTTATTTGCACAGGAACAGTTTTCTGTCTTGGTAATAATGATCCATTGTTTTTTATTTGTGGCTGTACTTTTCAGTATCTTTCTTTCTGTCTATCTTTCTTTTTTATCACTGTCTAAACACTGGCTGCTTGTACCTAACTCTGTCCACCGAGGACAGAACAGAAATGCAGCAAAGTGTTTGCCTCACCAGGGTATTACTTTTGATTGAAGGTATGTTTGGTCAGGTGAGGGGCATGTTACTTCCACAGTGTTTAAAATAAACATAAGGTGAAACCCTAAAATGTTAGGGGATTGAATATGCTCTGGTTCAACCAAGGAAATTTAGATGGAATGCTGACACTGCCCTGGAATCTTTAGTAGTTCTAGGGCCCCATCAGTGTCCTATCTAAGCACAGTTCCAAGCATGTCACAAACATTGAGCGACTGTGAAGATTAATTGATTAAAGAGGTAGAAAACCAACTATTTCCCCCTATGTTATAGAATGGAAAACTGAGGCAGAGGCGTGAAATTCTCTTGTCAAGACTTCAGAGAGCCCCTGTATGTTGGGATTAGAGTGTAGGACTTCCTGATTCCTGGTCACTAGTTTAAACTGCTGGAAAATAGCTCTCACAAATCATCTTAGTGTTCCTAGGTAGCAAAGCACAGATGGCTCCGTTCTGCTAAATTGATAGGAAATATACCAACCTTGAAATAAGAGAAAGATGATTGTCACTCTTAACTCTGGATTTCCTTGTTGCTGTTCCTTTGTGTCAACATCTGACATCATTTTATTAAATAGCTTTTTCATTTAATTTCCTTGTGGCAGTAATTGGAGTAATAAAAACTAAAATAAACAAAAATTTACATGACTAGCAATAATCATTGTGATAGTTGTGTCTTAGTTCATTATTGCTGAGCTATCTCCATGCACCCTGTTATTTCTGCTTAAAGGAAAACAAACCTTGGTTGGCCTCGCAATTCATTCTAAATGTAAAATTCATCTGAATTTGGGTTTCTGAGCTCAATAGCTTGCTCACTTCCTGAGCTGGTAACAATATAAGGTGGTGGTCTCATGCCTTGTGAAAGAAGCACTCTGTATGCATGTAATCAACTACCTTTTTGCTGAAGGAGTCCTAGAGAGGTGCCAAAATATTCATATTTTGTATCTCTTTTGTATGTGGCAATTTTGTGCACTCTTATCAGACCCTTTGATTCATATGCTGTGTAAGACACTATTGACAGGGTATTTGATCCTTATGTAAATGTAGCATGATATATCTCCTATGATCTTTCATTGTGGCAATATTAGATATGAAAATTAGGTGTTAAATTTGGCTTCACATCTCTCTCAAAATGTTCAGAAAACACAAACCTCTAAATTTGATCTCTGAACCAGTTTTTTGTTTTTGTTTTTAAATCTTTTTGAATGTTAATGCAGTATTTAAAACTGAAAGCTTCCCCAGTAATTTAAGCAAGGGTTGGAGGTGGCATGGAAAGTAAAGCCCTAGTCCTGCATACATTTAGTTAAGCATGTCCATTAATGTTTGCAGGGTGAAGGTCTTAAAATGTCTAAATACAAAGGCCATCATGACCCCAGACCATTTAAAGATGATGGAAACTTTCCAGGTATGAAAATATTAGAGGTGAGGCAGAGGAAACTGGAGTGGGAGAGGGCTGCTCTTCACTGTATTGGGGCAAACCCTTGAAGTGGAAAAAAAAATATTTTAGTTGCTTTTTATAGTTCAGCTGGGTGCACATTAAAACAGTGATGGTATTAACCCCTGAAAAACAGGATTAATTCTAAGGACTTGTTGCTGTCATTAACTTCAGTTCTGCTGCTGTAATACAGCATACATAGTTGGCTGTAATGAATGAGTAGTATTTTTTTCTGAATTGGCTACAAAAAATTTGGCAACCGTTAGGCTGCTAGAATGCTGTGACTACTGTCTGTAACCAGTATTGTCTCAATGTTTCTGTGTGCTCCCCCGTCCACCTGTCTCCATCTGTTCTCTTCAGAGCAAAAAGACAGTCCCTGCCATGTTTTTGTACAGCACCTCGCACAATAATGGGGTCCTAAGATCACCCATTAGTTTGTCATCACCATGTTACATCATAGCTGTTGTCTCATATTAAATTGTAATTTTTCACTTTCTGAGGGTGGATTACGCCGCTTATCAGATTTTCAGGCTGGCTTTTAATTTCTTATTCTGTTGGGCCAAAAAGACTGGAGGTGCCAAGAGGGTGAGTAGCTCCTTGATGCATCCCCTTTGAAGCTCTTCACTTCACACTATTCTCTGTTGGGACCTTTGGATTTTCTCCTGCTGCATTCATGTGCTAAAGCACAGAGAGAGACAGGGATTCTGGCTATCCGAACAGGCTTGATGGTCAGACTGGCTTCAAGTCATCTCTCTTCCCTACTTAATCAGCAGTAGTTTTTAGGTGTAGCTGGAGTGCTTTGTACTGAGGCTCCTGTTCTGGCCCTCCGAGTTAGTGCTGCCAGTGTGGCCGAGTTGTGGCCTCTGTGATGGAGCCTTATGTGCCTTTTGTAACAATGGCTTTGGCCCCAGCCAGTATCGGTGACTATTTTTGAAGCTCTGTCAATGTTCCAGGCCCCCTCATCTCAGCCCCTTCGGGAGAGGCAGATAGAAGATCAAGATGCTGAGAGTTGCAGTAGTCTCAGAGGAGCTGGAAAACTCCCTTGGAAAATGTTTACTATGAAGGAGTACAAGGGCAAAGACTTCACAGGAAAGGACACAACCTTTCCTTGGTCCTTGCAGAAACCTTGACCTGTCTGAGCTGATCTTGTGAGCTATCTTTATCTGGATTCATTTGGTTGCTATTTCAGTGGCATCCTGTTGTGGACTAGTCAAAGTTTAGACTGGTGTCTCATCAGTCTCTTCTCCAGTTGATTTGGGTCTAGAGGCTTTTAAATATGTTAATTTAAAAAGCCTGCTGTGCTGTGCGATGCTGTTGAGTCTGGCAAAGCAGATACAGTAACTCCTCGCTTAACGTTGTAGTTATGTTCCTGAAAAATGCAACTTTAAGTGAAATGATGTTAAGCAAATCCAATTTCTCCATAAGAATTAATGTAAATATGGGGGGTTAGGTTCCAGGGAAATTTTTTTCACCAGGCAAAAGTGTCTCTCTCCACACATGCACACAGTATAAGTTTTAAACAAACAGTTTAATACTGTGATGCTTGATTGTGAAGTGATGATGATTGTGAAGCTTGGCTGAGGTGAAGAAGTCAGAGGGTGGGATATTTCCCAGGGAATGCCTTACAGCTAAAGGATGAACTAGCAATTACTGAGCCCTCAAGGGTTAACTCGTTGTTAATATAATCTTAAACTCTACAAGGCAGCACAGACTAAGGGAGGGGAGACAGAGACATACATGCTGTGTGTGAGAGAGAAATGCACATTGCTCCTTTAAGTATGCTGACCCCACTCTTAAGTACATTGCCTTTTTAAGTTAATGAACAAGCTGAGATGGTAGCTGCTGCCAGGAAGCTCCCTCCATCCTGAGCCCTGTCATGTGTCCCCCCTGCTCTATGAAAATGGGATGAGTGGGGTGCAGGAGCAGGGGGAGGGGGACACCCTGACAACCCCCTTTTCCAGCCCTTCACCCCGCACAGCAAGCAGGAGGCTCCGGGGAGCAGCTCCAAGGCAGAGGGCAGGAGCAGCACATGGCAATGGGGGAGGGACAGCTGAACTGCTGGCAATTGATAGCCTGCTGGGTGGCTGCTGCCTGGGGAACGGGGAGCTGATAGGGGAGCTGCCGGTCCACCCTGGTTCCAAGCCCCCACCAGCTAGCTGCAACTGCCTGCTCTTCCTGCAAGCAGTGGACAAAGCAGGTGGCTACCAAATGATGTTATAAGGGAGCATTGCACAACTTTAAACGAGTATGTTCCCTAATTGATCAATGATGTAACAACGTTAACTGGGACGACTTTAAGTGAGGAGTTACTGTAAAAGCTAATTTTGAATCACTCTTCCTATGAGTGTAAGTTTCTAAAATTGAAGGTCATTTTCCTGATGATTGTGACTTCAGCTCATGTAGCAAGTGAACTTCTGGCTCCAGTCACTGATCAACTTTATGCCAGTTTCTACAAGCATAAGATAGTGTTACAGACTTATCAGAAAGAAAAGGAGTACTTGTGGCACCTTCGAGACTAACCAATTTATTTGAGCATAAGCTTTCGTGAGCTATAGCTCACTTCGTCGGATGCATCCTGTGGTTACCAGCCAGCTATAGAAGCCCAATAAACCTGTGACGTAATGTAGATAGTTCCTCCCTTTGGTTCCCCAAAGTTCAGGGACCATTTTTATCTGTGCCAAAGATTGCCAACTTTTATGCTGATTGATTATACTTTTTGCTATATAGCAGATCTTACTGGATCTTACAGAGTGGTAGGCTTCTTGCATTTCAGCAAAGCTTATTATTAGGAAATACATGCCTCAACACATCTTAAATTTCAAAGAATTAATACTGATAAAATATAAGAACGAAAGATCTTTTTCAGAAAAAGAAACATATTAATTGATACTGCTGGATGGATTAGTAGGATATAATAGCTAGCAAAATAATCCTATGGGCTACAGGCTGCATGAGC